TCAAGCACTTTGGATCGGGCTTTCAGGCTGGAGATCCAAAAATTCGGATTGTTGGCTTGAGACACCACGGGATGTGGCATTGAGTAGAAGTCAGCAATATGAAAGCATTTTTTACTTGTTTGAAGTCCCTAGGGAAACAGACAAAGGCGTTCTATGTTTGAAATAAACGTTTTTTTTACCTCCACTGGAAACCGTTCGCTTTTGCTCCATTCCTGTTATAAGCTTTTCAGCCCACACTTATTTTGATACTGTATCTGCAAATGTGGGTATATATCTACCGAAATTGGCGCCTTGTCAATCGAAGACCCAGCACTTCCTCACTCGCTGCGACTGCTTGCCCACAGCCACCTATTCACGAGTCTGAACTGTTAGTAATGATACAGAAAAACCCATTGAATAGTAAGATTATTGTATCATTCATGAGTTTACATTAACGTGCATATGTTGATTGTTTTTTTGCTGTATAAAAACTTCTACTGGTTTCCCTTAACATGTCTTTAACATGTCATGTTTTCGATTGTTAAATATGTGATGGACCAAACATATTTCACTAAGCAAAAGTTAGCCAATCAAGAGACTGTCATGTGATGCAGGGAAATTCTCCGTTGTGATTATTTGATGATCTAAACCATTCGATAACCACCTTCGTTGCATCGGGCACGGGGCTGTATTGTAGACTCGTTCTTGTGCATTGTACAGCATACGCTAGTACAAGATTCTACTTGATGCTTTTACAATATCTTTTTTTGTGCATTTAAGAGGCTTGGTTCGCTTCCGTCACCTATAGTGCATATACCACTTTGGTTTTCGTCCCAGCGTCGTTATTGTGCTTACCGGACTTGCGGTGTAACTGAGTGTTTCCATCTTCACACGTTGATAGCTGATGACTTATTTTAGTTTATGATGCAATTTTTCCGCGCACACGCTCCACGTAAAGTTTGCCGCTTTCATTATATTCACTTATGTGCAATAATAATCAGAGCATCGTAGCGTTGTCTTTGACCAAAGTTAGTCAATTATTATTTAAAACCTGGTAATCAGTAGGTTTTCTGTGCTCACGGAATATAGTTTTGTTTCAGGTTGGCGGTATACAGACCTTACAAATTTCCAGATTACAGCCCAGAAGATAATAAATATCCTGATAAATTTTGACTAGCATGTCGAATAATGGTGATCAATGAAACCCATTTAAACTCTTGAACCCAGGAAATTTTGTTCTCACATGAATTCATATTCATGAACTCCTCGTGCTGTGGTACTTCAGTTGACTAATTTTCTATGTTCTCTAAATAAACACAACTCCGTGCTTTAATTAGTTTCTGTACACCTTTGGGGCCTTATTAGTTTCTGCGGATGTCTTCTGTACTACATGACTTGTCTGATGATGCCGCTCGAACTATCGCACCACAATTACATCATGTAGGTTCTCCATTTTCTTGTCACTCATGAATTTAAACAATNTTAAACAATTTTTCGGAAGTCTATATCTTTTAACCTTCCGGTTTTCTCTAAACTACCTAATTATCTCACCGACTGGTCGGCGTTTTGAGAATGCAACATATTCATTGGGGTTAAGTATTCTGTTCAATTTGGGTTTCCGCTAGGGAAACGATAATTTCTTTATGACACAAAGTTATTTACAACAAAAAAGTAAACCCTATAGTCAAAGACATACTGCAGGTGTGAGGTGAAAATAGCTTTGTTGTTATTGGTTTTGAATTCTCATGCCCCCTAAAAAGATGATAAACTAACACAAAAATGTCAAAAAGTTTACGGCGAAACAACTTTTTTATTTTTGTTATCTATTGTTATTTATTGTTGCTGCTTAACTTTCGTTTCACTTTGTTCTGTATCCCAACCTCCCATCCTCAATATTGTTATTATTGTTGTGGTGTTGCACTATGCTTGCAAGCCGGTGATGAATATATATACTTATGAAAAGAGTAAGATTAATTGGCTGGAAATGCGGAGATGAAAAGAATATTCCATAATTTCAGAGTTCTGAGGAAACGAGAGGGCCGGACGGTAGAAGTCGAGCATCTGGATACAGGAACCTGATGAGGGTGACTGCCCACCTGAGAACGGGATGAATAAAAAGGAACAAGGGTAGGAGAACCGCTGAAGGGAGTTAAGAAATGCAGAAACCAAAATAGTAACGATAGAAAAGAGCTAATGAAGCAACTGCCCGGTGATGGGAAAGCTACTACTACTGAAGGTAAAGACGATTCGTTGATTAGTCGGCTGGCCTTACGTTGAACACAGTCAAAAAAAGGAGTGGAATGCAAAGCTCCATCCCATACATGACTGCAGTGTTCGAGCATCGAACGGATTTAAGCTTTACATGAGAGGTGCTTGGGTGTGAAGAATCGCGTGGCAGGGAGTAGGCTGACTTTGCGAGCGCTGTGAGAGGGGAGTGTGGAAATAAAAGAAGGCTAACAGAGAAAAGAATTTATAGATAAGTACACCGAGGAGGGAAGCTATTCGATAATCGATTGGGGAGAATAAAGGATATAATAAAGAGGGACTAAAAGGAGAGGAGTTTCAGAAGCATTGAAACATGCGTAGCATAACCCCCATGTGAAGATGAGTCGGAGATTGAAGGCAAGAGAACTATTGATGATATTGCAACATTGCATATCTGCACACCTCTGGCTTGGGAAGAACAAAAGGTACTAAGCTGGAGCGGTATAACTGTAATTGTGACAAAACGATTTACTGGATCAACGGATTAAATGCAGATTACTAAACGTTAGACCTATCAATACTGCCGAGGTTGATAACGAGGTTGACCAGTCATATACCACCTAATGTGTGTAAGCTGCAGCGTGATTTGAACTTTCATGTCTCTCTTTCAAAAGATTAAGTCGGACAACGACTGACAACTCAAGTTTGATTCTCAGGGTTTTTGATCAGTCGGCCCATTAAAGGTGGATTTCGGGTTGAGTTGCCGGTTAGGTTAATCAGGTGCTTCAATTTCGGCGCTGAAATCAGCCGGACTTGTGTTCGTAATCCGATGATACATACATGGGTATAAAATCAGAGGAGCGTTTGTTTGAGTCTGAGGTGCTTGATATATCGAGCTCATGCGAAACGTCCCACTCTTTGTATGTGACTGAACTACTTCGTTTTGCAATCTTTCCCGGAATCTAGCTTTCATACCCTTCAAAAAAATCTCATACATAAACGTGACTTAAACATTCCCAGTCTGTCGTCAATAATTTAGCGATGTGTGAATCTGCAATATCTTGCGCCCTCAGAACCAGTGGCGAACGTAACCAAGTGCTCTGCATTGTGGCGAGGGAAGCGTTCTCTTGATCTTTCTGTTTGATGATCTAGCGTTTGTTTCTGTCTCGCACGAAGCGGTTGTGGGTTGTTCGGTTGGGTGAGTGGTGTCAACGACGGAACGCTGAATTTTTAAAACCTACATCACGGTTGCAAACATGGTTCAACCACTCAGAAGATCGTAGTTTGCTGAGTTCGGAAAAGTTTGCGATACACGATGCATGCCTTGAAGAACAATCTCATTGGAGACATCATAATTGAAACAATAGTCATTCCAAGGACAACGATCCACAAAGTCACGAAAACCGTTTCAGTTGAATAAATTTAACGTCAAAAGATGCGCCTGGAGTTCGGTGGTGATACGGAGTGAGGGAAATGAGGCAAAGATCCGATGAGCTTAATGGAGAAAGGGAAGTGATGTTGGAGAAATAAGAAGAAGAGGATGTTAGAATGAGGTCAAGGGTGTTGGAGCGGTCCCCAGTACAGTAAGGGATGTGTAAAGAAGTCAGCTAACTAGCTGAGGTTGATCATAGAAAGGCATCAGCTTCGTGTCCCACGATAGAACTGTCTGAGGAGTGCATCAGCCACTTCTTGTTGTAGACATTGAAATGTTCGACAATGGTGTTTGGCTATCAGGATCTACCACCATTTTTTCAATGTTGGAAAATAGAATAACAAAGATAGAAGAACCATTACTGTTTGGAGAGCGGTAAACGGTACAAAAGTAACGGTTGAACGAAGGGAACCGAATTTCTAGCCACACGAGTTGAAATTCGCGGTTGAATACATCATGTTGTGATAGTCGCGAAGAAACGAATGATGAATATGGGCGCAAATATCAACTTTTGGGAAACGGAAGAATAGAGAAGGAAATTGGGGGATGGAAGATAAAGAGGTTTTTAAATTTTTATTGTGATACATCCAAGTGTGATAAACGGCAGACGGGTTGAACACCATAGTCACGAGGACATGTTCAGTGATGGAAACCGGCAACCTAAGCCCCGGGACTTGGAGTAGAGAACCACATAGGGCTCCGTTAGGTTAGGCGTGGTATTGAACCGGAAGACAGTAAAGCTGTCTACCACCAAAGTTTGGTGGCGCTGTCGGGGCTCGTATCTCGGACCATCGGGCCCTTATGAAGCAGAGATATGAGTCTTCCGGTCAAAAATAAAGCCACGAGTGAAGAAGATTTTAAGAAAGTGGCTTACAGAATCAGCATTCCGATTCAGGTCGCAAATGTTAGTGAAGGCAGGGAGAAAGTTTTCTGAGAGAGAGAGTGCGCATGCGATGATTCACTTGATTTGCACTTTTCATGTATAATGTAAGAGAAGCCCGGCAATCCAACCCTGAGAATTGGAGTGATAAATCACCGAGGCTGGGTGTGGCGGTGAGCGAGAAGACCGTAGGACTTTCTATCACCTTGATGTAACTAGTTCTACATTGTTCATGTTACCTTAGCTGTTACTGGTAAAAAGGATGTTACGGAGTTATCTGGCACTGCATCTGGTTGAAAGACTTGCTTGTATTGATCTTACTCTATTTGCTTCATGCATCCCCCACTATCTTCCCTGCCCTGATTATTAAATACTTTTACCAAGTATTTGGCTCGTATTTCTGATAGTTAACCACCAACCTATAACGGTCTACGTACCACTTCGGTACATAACAGGAAAGAATCTCTTCATCGAATAGCTATTTATCCATGCGCGGAAATTTACATGGCCTTCGCCCTATCACTATACATGCTTCCTGGTACGTCAGAACATGTACGGGGTTTCTTAGATAGATTGTATGCGGTGATCCTCGTCATCATTGTACAGCGAAATACAATGAAACGGACTTCACTGATTGCTGCCAAACTCGGAATGCAAACAAGGTTAGTGGTCATATTTCAGTTGGACAGGGATTGGACCTATTTCGAGGGAGGGTGAAGGTGAACCTCTGATCAATATGGAGTAAACAATCAGACTATGCATACATATCGTTTCAAGCATTCTGGCCTAAGAAATGACAACAAGAGCGCTACTGCTGTCGGTTCGCTGCCGTATCCTTCAATGTCTCCAACCAACCAGTTGCGGAGTCTTTCGGACCCCAACCTGGAGGGCGCGAGACACCTACTCTACCTAGTGGCTCCGTGCATTTCTTCATGCCCCGTCTCCACATCATCTGGTGACCTCCACGTGGTTTCTTCCAGCTCGGAGCGGCTGCAGCAAGTGAAGCACAATGCGGTAGACGGCAGCTTGGCATACGCAATGCAGGCCCCAGCCACCGAAGTCTACTAATCTGAATTCGATGTACTGGTAGGCTTATCTCTGATAGACTCGCAAACACTCGACGGCTTACCTGCAGATTACTAACCCGATCGCTCCATCCCACATTGGATAAACTACGAAAACACCGATAATCGAAAACTTCTAGTCACAAATTCAAGGTTTCACAACCATAAAGCAGGAGTAAACTAACGTTAGGACGATATACACGACCTTTCAACTTCAGTGAAACGTCGCGTCTACGTCCTGCGTATGCTGCTCGAGCCTTGAAAACGCGGGCAGTTATCCTCTTTGCTGCACTACCGCCATTAGTCACGCAACTACCTAACTACGGAAAGTAATCCACCATAGCTAATTCCTGGCCATTTAGTTTCAAAGCGGGAGTAGGTGAAACCCAATCCTGCAACATCACTTTCCACTTTGAAGGTGCAAAGCACATACCGAATGTGGCAACAGCACTTGTTAGCCTATCGAGTGCGCTTTACGTATCCCCGGTACATTCGAACAGACAGATAATGTTATCAGCGTACTCTAAATCGCACGGTTTTTCTCCAGCTGCCCATTCAATACCTTCGTTTTGGAGACCACTAAGTGCGTTCTCCGGGATTTCGTCTACAACGAAATTGAACAGTAATGGCGAAAGAGGGCATCTTGACGAACGCCGCTGCTGGTGACAAACGGCCTACTTAGTTCGCTGTAAACCTTCACTCGACCAGAGGTACGCGAGTACGGTGACCTTAGTAAGCTAACGTACTTCTTAGGCATTCCTTTTCGAAGAAGAGGACCCATCAGAGCTTCGCGGGCAACTGAGTCGAAGGCACCTTTCAGGTCAAGGAATACTGCCATCTTTGATCGACGGTGAATTTGACGCAGCTCAAGGACGTGACGCAACGTAAAAATTGGATCAACACATCCACGGTCAGACCGAAATCCGGCTTGCTGTTCACGGATGTTGGTCTCTTAAAGGGGTCAGAAGTCGAAGTATAACCGAGGCTAACACTTTGGTGACAATCGGGATCAAACATATTCCGCGGTGATTTTCGCAATCATTGCGAGATCCTTCCTTGAAAATGGGAACAATCAGTGATTTACCCCAAGATGAAGGAATGTGGTTATCACTCCCTATATTGAAGAGTGGGAGGGAGCGCTGAACTGTTCGTTGAAGTATTCTGCCCAGGGATCAAGTCGTTCATCCATATTGTGAATAGCTTGTTCCCTCTTATCGCATACTGTTTCACTAACTGGAGTTCGTCGGCCTTTCGTCTTGCGTATTAGTCGGAATAGTCTTTGACTATTCCCTCATGCAGCTGCTAATTCCATTTCACCAGCTATTGTTGCCCACCAGTTTTCACGGTCCTTCTTGAGACTCTTCGTGAGCCGACGTTGTAGCTGCCGCCTCACTCTATTTTGATCCTGGCAGGTCGAGACTTGCCGTTTTCGCTCCATCAGGGCTACTGAATCCTGAGATATCCAATGTCTCCGACGGGCTTAAGGCTCTGATCCACAAGCAGCATTCGCTGTAAATGCATCGCTCGCATAATCTGATCCCACTACTCATCTACATCATCACGTTTAGGCGCGCTTAGCTCAGGCACTAGCTCTGACCATAGAGTGCACGAACTGCTGGGACAGATAGTCGATGATGAGCTATTCGAGTTTGCTGGTTTTGTCGCCGGCCAGTCGGAGAGTGAACTGCATCAGAATTAATACCTGGTCAGACTCAACGCAGGTGGTCCAATAGGACCTTTTTGCAATGAGGCACGCTTACCACTGTGCGATCGATTTGAGTAAGTGTACCAGTTGAAATGGAGCGCCACGTTACCGTCCGTTGAGATCAGTGTCGAACGTCGGTACTCAATAGGAACAGGTGATGATCTGTGCAGAACTGAGGAAACCGGTCGCCGTTATCTCTTCTTTGGAACGGTAGAGCATAACTACCACCTAGGCAAGCTTGTGATATACTCAGTTTTCCAACATGAGCGTCAAAGTCACCTGCAAGTACAACTAGGTCGGGGCCTCGACACATCCGAATGAGATCGGTGAGTTCATTGTAGAAAGCACCCTTGTGTGTATCATAACTGCAGTTGATCGGTGCATATGCTGATGCGATGAACAAACACCTTTTGGTGTTGTTACAAGCTATCCTGTAGTTAGCCCGGAGAACAAGGCACAGAACACGTATA